CTCCAATCCTGATGCCACGTTTTTCTGCATAGAATCCAGCTTCTCGTATTATTTTCTCAGCATACAGGTTGAATAAGTATGGTGAAAGAATACAACCTTGTAGCACACCTTTTCCAATTTTAAAACTAGTGAATCACTATTTCTCTGACAACTTTTTTTAAGTCCACATAAGCTACAATTTGGAGTTTTGAAAGTGTTTTAGTGGAGATTCTGGCTGCACATGGTTTAAATGAATTGTCCCATAATAATCATTCCAGGGATGTTGTTGTTGCTGTTAGGTGCCCTTGAGTCAATTTTGAATCGTAGCAACCCTATGCCTGTCCTCACTCTGCTTGAACCTGTTCTTAGAGCCACTGTGCCAACCCAGCTCCGTGAGAGTATTCCTATTATTTACTGACCCTCGACTTAACCAAGTATAATGTCCTTCTACAGGGACATCAAAAGTATATGACATGAAGTCCTATCCTCACCTCTAAGAAGCATTCTGGATATATTTCTTCCAAAACCGATTTGTTCATTCTGTTAGCAGTCCACTCAATAGTCTTCCCCAAAACCATAATTTGAAGGCATTGATTCTTCATCTGTTTCCCTTATTCATGTCCAGCTTTTGTACGTGTATGTGGTGATTGAAAATCCAATGGCTTACATCAGGCACATCTTAGTCTTAAAGTAACATCATTGCTTTTGAACATTTAAAGAGATGTTTTTGCAGCAGATTTGCTCAATGTAATACATCACTAGATCTTTTGACTGCTGCTTTCATGGGCATTGATTGTGGATCCAAGTAAAAGGAAATCCGTGACTATTTCAATCTTTTCTTTACTATGATATCTCTAATTGGCCCAGTTGTGAGGATTTCAATGTTTTTTATTTTTTGGCCAGGTCTTCCAAATCTCTTGGCATAGATCAGTGAGCACTCCAGCACAGCATCCATTTGTTCAAACATTCCTATTGATATTCTGTCAATTCCTGGAGTCTTGCTTTTTGCCAATGCCTTTAGTGCAGTTAGGACTTGTTCCTTCAATACCAACAATTTTAATAATAAAATTTTGTTGGAGGTAATTAAAAAATCGTGGCAGCAGTAAAATAGGGAACTATCATAAATTTCAAGGCATAATCAAAACATGATGCAGAATAAGGGATATGTTTGCTGATATCATATGGGTCATGGGTATGAAAGTAGAGAATACCAGAAATCTCTTTACTGCATTTTATGGAATATACAAAAGCATGTGACTGTGTGGATCATAACAAACTATGGATAACATTGGGAAGAATGGGAATTCCAAAGCACTTAGTTGTGGTCATGAAGAACCTATAAAACATAGATCAAGAGACCACAGTTCATAGAGTGGAGAGTGAAACATCCAGTTGATAAGAAGAGAGGGCATATACATAAGAACACCCATATGTGCAGATAATACCCACTTGACCTGACTTCAATGACTGGATGATCAGAGCTCAACCAGAAGAAGGTAGAAGAGGAAAAAAAAAAAAAAAAGAGAGCGAGTAATCTGATACAATTTGATGAATTTGACGTACACCTATGGATGCAGTAACTTAAAAGAGAAACAAATACTTACAGCAAGGATCATTCCCACCCCCTCCAAACACAGAGTAGTCAGGGATGGGCAACTTGGACATTGGCTACCCAAAATGGGGGGAGGGGGCTACAAAGGCAAGAAGTGACTGGCGTACAAGCTTTCAAGAGGGAACCTAGATCCAGAGGGCATGGGGGAAGGTAGACTCTCCACTGAGTAGTATCCAATCTGTCTGGGCTGGGCTGATGAAATGAAATGCAGATAGCTCTCTTGTGATACAATAGCGAATAATTGTTATCAGGACTGATTGTGAGTGTTGGAAACATAAGGGTAGACATTTTATAACAAGGAGGGGAGTGATTAACATTTCAGTCTAGGAGCAGAGGTCCCTGGAACCATCAATGGAGAAGAGCGGAGAGCGGGATCCTACCCAGAGAAGCAGTGACACCAGAGACGGAGGCAGAGATGATGACATGGAGACTTTAGACACAGAGAGGAAGAGGGGCTGTGTGCTGACGACTGGGGCTCAGGCTTGTAGTGTATACCTTTTGGTTGGTTGATGATGCATGGAGGGATTGTAACCATGGCAATGAAAGGATAGATGATAGAATGAATGTAAAACTAATGTTCTCCCATGTAAACTATCACATGATTCACAATAAAACATTAAAAAGAGAGAGAGAGAGACTGCAGTTTAAACAAAACAAAGTTTAAATTTCTGAAAGTTCCCTATTTTACTGCTACAACTATTTTTTAATTATCTTCAACAAAATTTTACTTGCCTCTGATATTGGTCTATAATTTCCACATTTCATTGGATCAGCTTATTTGGAATGTATACAAATATGGATCAATTCTTGATCATAAGCCACCTCCTAAAATGGTTGAAGGGATCCTGGTGTTGTGTTATAGAGTAAGCACTGGACTGCAAGGTTGGTTTGAACTGCAGGGTCAGAATTTCAAACTCATCAGCCACTCTTCAGAAACCCTATATAGGGTTTCTATGAGTCTGAACCAACTTGATGGCACTAAACAACAATACTATGGTTGAGGGATCCTGGTGTGGCACTGTAGGATAAGCACTGAACTGCTAATCACAAGGCCAGTTGTTCATTCCTTGGGAACTCTTTCAGGGTCACTGTGAGTCAGAACTGAATTGATGGCACTTAACAACAACAAACAACAAAATGGTTGAATGTCAACCAACTCTTTTTGGTGCAATGACTGTGAAATTCTTTCTTTCTTTTAAAACATGTTTTCTGTGTCCTTCAATATTTTGCCCATGGTGGTGGGTGGTTATGTGCTGTGGAGTCGATTACAACTTATAGTGACCCTGTATAGGGTTTCCGAGGCTGGCTATAAATCCTCATCTTGCTCCCGTGGAACTGCTGGTAGCTTCAAACTGCTGACTGAGATTAGCAACCTAACTCGTAATCACTACTTTACCAGAGCTCCTTATTTTGCCCATAGAAACCTTCAATATTAACTCAAAGCTTGAATTTGTCTTCATTTCAGCTTGAGAAATGCTGAGCATGTCTTCCCTTTTAGCTTTCTAAATCTTGTTATTTGTACATTCTTGTTTATCTTCTCAAGCTTCTCTTTGAAATTTTCAGTTCAGCTCTTTTGCTTCATCATTTTCTCCTTTAGTTATAGCAAATCACTGTTCAAAAGCAAGTTTCAGAATCTCTTCTGACATCCATTTTGGTCTTTCCTTTCTTTACTGTCTTTTTAATGACCTCTTAGTTTTTCATGTCTGATGAAATTAGCGTCCCATGTGTCAAATGTATTCTTGGTGTCTAAATTCAGGTGGGATATTACTCAAAATCATAATTGGCTTTCATAGACTTGTTCTAATTTTTTTCAGCTTCAACTTGAACTTGCTTATGAGCAATTGATGATCTGTCTCAAAGTTAGCCCCTTGTCTAGGTTTGGCTGATGATGTTGAGCTTCTCAAGCATCTCTTTCCACAGATGTAGTCAATTTAATTACTATGTATTCTTTCTGATGAAGTCCGTATGTACAGCTACCATTATGTTGCTGGAAGAAAAAAAGGTACTTGCAATAAACAAGTTGTTGGTAGAACAAATCTTATCATTTGATCTCTAGCATTGTTTCTATCACCAAGACCATAATTTCTAACTGCTCATCTTTCTTCTTTTCTTCCACGTTTCCAATTCCAATCACTAGTAGTTATCAATGCATCTTGAATGCATGTCTGATCAATTTCAGACTGCAGAAATTGGTAAAATTCATCAGTTTCTTCATCTTTGACATTAGTGGTTGGTGTTTAAATCTGAATGTTTAGTGGTCTTTCTTGTAGCTGTATGGATATTATTTTATCTCTGACAGCATTGTATTTCAGGTCAGGTTTTTAAATGTTCTTCATGACAATGAACATGATGCCATGTCTCTTCAATTTGTCATTTTTGGCATACTAAATCACATGATTGTCCAATTCAAAATGACCACTTCAGCTCACTAATGCCTAGGATATCGTTCTTTATGCATTACATTTCATTTTTACAACTTTAAATTTTCCTAAATTCATACTTTATACATTTCACATTCTGATTATTAATGGATATTTGCAGCTGATTCCTTTCATTTTGAGTTATGACACATTAGCAAATAAAGGTCCTGAAAGCTTTGCTCCATCCATGGCATTATGGCCAACTTTACTATGAGGTGGTAGCAATTCCACAATCATATTTTTTAATGTCTTCTAACCTGAGAAAGAAATCCTTTTGGTGCAGCAAGTTAAGCACTGGGCTTTTAACCACAAAGTTGGCGATTCGAACCCACCAGCTGCTTTGTGGGGGAAAGATGTGACTTTCTGCTTTTGTAAAGATTGACAGGTTTGTTTACCCTGAAAAGCAGTTCTACTCTCACTGTGAGTCAGAATTGACTTGATGGCAGTAGATTCCGACCTGAGGTGCTCATCTTCTAGGTACTACATCCAACTATGATCTAACTTAGAGGTTTATACTGGCCAATTGTTTTCAGAAGTAGTCCTCCATGTATGTCTTGTCTTAGTTTGAAAGCTCTGCTGAAACCTGTCCACCATGACCCTGCTGGTATTTGAAATAGTAGTGGCATAGCTTCCAGTAACACAGCAACAAACAAGTCACTAAACTGACTAATGAGTGGTGGTCATGGATATCAGTTGTGCACTAACTCCGGAAATGAATGTCGTATAATTATGGTTTAACAGAATATTTTTGAATCCATAATAAGAAAATGAGAGAGAAAATTATGTTCTTAATCTTCTGTCTGTTGGAATGAAGATGATTAAAATACAGAAAAATCGTACTTGCCAAAATTGGAATGATTTACATGGGTCTTTGTCTTCTTTAAGGAAATAGCAATTACTGATCCTTTAAGAGAATAGCAGTGACTGAGCCTCAAACTAGTTGGTATCAAGCTACAAAAAGATGGTTATTCCCATTCCTGTATAATTAAAATTTCTCCCTGATGCCTTTGGTTATGCATAGGACAGGGTGTTTAATACAGGTTTAGAATTGTTGGTATAAATTTTATCTTTATTTTATGGTTCAGATTCTGGTTCAAAGTGTTTCTGTAAGTTAGGTTTCATAGAAATGGATACAATACTAATTTACCTGTTCACAGTAGAGTGAATAATCTTTTTTGTTTCTAAAATACACTAAGTTTAAGACACAGCAGAAAGGATATTTTTCTTTAAATGTGGGTTTTGTTAGCTGATACACTCTTCATGTGCTTAGGTTTAATTAAACCCACTGCGGCTTCAGTCAGGGAGTGGAGAGCCCTTATGATCTTACCAGGCATGATGGTCTTCTTGCAGTGGAAACACTTGGAGGAGCATTCATTAGAATAGCACTCTGTGCACAGCAGGCGCTCATCCTTGGCAGCAAAAGGCTTTTCCACCAAAGAGTGATTGCATTTGGCACACTTGAAGCATCCTCCATGCCAGTGCCGGCCTTTATAACAAAGATCCTTTGAGACAGTAAATAAAAGTTAATTAAATGTGTTTGTGATAAAACAAACTGTTCTCTTAGACAAAACTGAACACTCCTGGGACTCTGGTGCCAGTAGATTGTGTTGGTAGCTTGAGGGAAAATTGTTATTGATATTGTTACCCATAGAGAGGAGATGCTCTGGGGTAGTTAAGAATGAGAGCCTGGATGTTCTTGATTGATCACTAAAGGCAGCTGGAAAAGAAGAAACAGGCTCTTCACTATTTCTTTAAAATTTCCCTACTTTCCTTCTATCAAAAAAAACACCTTTTTTTTTTTTTAATGTAATGATTTTTATTTTTAGGTTTCAATGTCCTATTTCTGTTTGAGACTTTCTTAGACAAACAAAACCCTGACACCACCTAAATACAGCAAGGTCAAAAGTGGGGCGGGGGGGAAGGAAGGAAAAAACCCTACACTAATGAGCATTGTAGGAGGAATGGGCTATATGTGTGAGAGGTCATAGCTGAATCTTGAACTTAATGTCTAATCATTTACACATTTATTTATGTAATATTGTCATTAGAAATAGCTAAGCATTTTAGCTGTGTAACTTTAGCACAACAAATAACCACTTTAGCATCCTAAGCTACCTCGTAAGAGTTTAGTACAAATAAAAGTATATGGAGTGGTGCTGTGGATTAATTCGCTGGACTGCAAGGTTGGTGGTTCAAGCTCACTAGCCACTCCTCGGAAACCCTATACAGGGTCGCTATGAGTTGGTAGCAACTAGACGGCACTTAACAACAACAAATCCATAGTGCCCAAAATTGATTGATGGATAACAATAAAGACCCTTATACAGTAGCAAAGCAATAGAAAGAATGCCAGTACTCACCAGAAAGGAAAAGAGGTATTTTAAAACATTTATCTGGGGCTCATGTGTACTAATTCTGTAAACTGAGGTGAGACCTACCTTGGAATCTGATTCAATAGGTTCTTTGCACACCTCACAGAAGTTAGAAAACATACGGTCATAACATGAAACGCAGTATAGATTGTCATCCTTTGATACATATTTCTTCCCAAGAAGTGATGTTGTGCAGTATTGACAATCAAATTGAGTAGCTGCCATTTGTGTTCAGTCCTGTGAATAATAATTTATACATGTAAAAACAAATTTTGTTTATAAACTAAATTATAATGCCTCAATATATTAAGAGTCAAGCATTTGAATGGAGTTATGTTTTCTAGAGAAAGAATCTTCCAATTTAGGAAAATATGCTTATAGTCATGGTGACGCTTGGAGTGATTAGGAAAAGTTACTCATCCATCTTGGTAATTCTTGTGTTTTTTTGTTAACAAAATGTATGAAGCAAGCAGTCAGATTGTGGAAACATCTTGTATTCATCACACACGAATGTGGAAGTCAGTAAGTATGATTTTACCTCAAGGATATAAATATGAACTGTTGATAGGGCTTTCACAAATTGTCATCACTTCATATCTTGCCAGAGAGTTCGAGAGGCAGTGTTCCATGGAAAATACAACAATCCTTTTACTCTAATTTAAATAGAAATTAATCATAAAGTACACTGCTATTTTGTACTCTATTATTTTATTCTTCATTTCTTTATTTGTTAACTAATGAGGATGGGACAGATGTTTGGTGACTGGCTGATAGATGGTTCAAATATTCCCAGTGGCTCTGTGAAAGAAAGACCTGGGTATCTGTTACTATACTAAAGACTACAGCCAAGAAAACCCTATGAAGTAGTTCTCGGTAATACACAGGCTCAACATGAGTGAAAAAATGACAGCAATGAGTTTTTGTTTTGTTTTAACTTTTTGATATTTGTTTTATTTTCATTGCTGTTAAGTGCCATCTGGTCAGTGCTGACTCACAGTGACCTTAAACAACAACACCATGAAACAGTGCCCAGTCCTTGGTGATAATACTAACTTTAGTAACACCTTTGCTATAAAGTATAGGGTATAAAATTTTTTTTCAGTAACAAATAAAATGATTATATATACATATTCACAGTGGTATTACTAAGGTTAGTATTATCACCCAATGCATTAAAACATGGGTGAAGCCAGCCAGCGAACCATACCCACTCTTACACCCCATTATGTGGAACTGTCCAATACTGCCCCCAAAGTGGCAGGGCTGAACAACATACCATGGGGCCCCAACCCTGCAACCTCTCTATGAATTCCCCCACCAAAGAATCTTCAGCTTCTTGCAGCTTCTTCACTCTACCATTGGCCAAGGCAGAGACCCTTCTTTCTGTCCAATGTTGAGTACCATGGCCCACCCATACCCTTACTAATGTGTGATGCAGTATGTGTATTTGGGGGTGCGTGATGAATTACTGCACTGACTTGTGGTCTCCCTATGTTGAGGGCATGCCTGCCACTCCTGCTGTGGACCCTGGGATCATTTTGGTACCACCGTGTCTGACTGGGATAGGAGGTGCAGTATGCACTCTGGAACCCTCCTAGTGAGCCACTGCATATTCATCTTTTGAATATACACATGATTTCAAAAGCATCTATTTACCTATCTGTGCTGAGAATCACAAAAGAGCCACCCCCATGTTCAATGATTCCCTCATAGGACTCACAGGGTCCACATATAATTGTACTCATGGCTAATATTTATTATAGTGAAAGGATGCAAAGCAAAGGCAGGCAAGGGGAAAGGCGCATGGATACCTTCGGAAGGAAACCTGACACAAGTTTACAAGAGTGTTGTTTCAGTGGAGTAGCCCAGACTGTGCTTAATTACTCTAGCAATTCAGTGAAATGTTGTATACCAAGGAAGCTAGTGGACACTAAGGACTCAGTGCACAGAGCTTTTACTGGAACCTGGTCACATACATACCCTCAGCCTAGCATGTCCCTAAGATCTAGACGAATAGGAAAGTAAGCAGCGCTGGAGGTGCTGTAGGATAAACACTGGACTGCTAACAGCAAGGTCGGCAGTCCACACACATGAAAGATGTTCCCATAAAGATAGGCTTACAGCTTCGGAGACTCTACACAGGATTTACTGTGAGTCAGAACCGATTCAATGGCCCCTAACAACAGCAGAAGGAAAGTGAGTGTTTAGCATAAATCATATTGTTTGTACAGTCAGCTACTCTTATCAGTTCTGGGAATGAAGATAACTCTCCTGAATAGCAGGTTTTACTTTATGAACAGGCCTTCTTAGGGATCTAGGTTTTCTTTATTTCATTGAGGATTCTGCTTAAGTAGGTATTGTTGTTGTTAAGTGCCATCAAGTCCTGACTCATAGTTACCTTGCACAGGGTTTTCAAGAAGCAACTACTGGGTTTGAACAGCTGACCTTATGTTTAGTAGTCCAGTGCTTATTCTACAGTGCCACACACATTACATTAAGACCTAATTAGTCATTAGGTCTTCCACTGGAATATGCCTTCCCTTTGAAACTCCTGCTATTTATGGCTTCAGCCAACAAATATGCTGGTGACTCCAAAACTTTTTGCTTTGTCCAGACCTTTCTATTAACTTTAGCTTGTACAATCCACTTGCATCCTGTCATCTCCATTTAAATGTCCCACACCAAGCTGGTCAAATAAAACTCTTGGCAAGAGAGATTCAGTCTAAGTGTAATGACTTTGTGACTGCTGTTTAGCGATTGCTAAAGGTGTTCCTAAAACCATCAATGGTAGAAAATGGCTTTGTTGGGAGTCTTCAGGCTTTAGAAAACATATAAAAATTAGTAAAAGCAGTAGCATCTTATTCCATAAGACACTGACATGAACTACAAAGCCAAGGTCAAGATAATGATTATGATTATTTTGAAAAACCATATGAGAAAAAACACCTGAGTTTCTAAAAGTATGGATTATTTGTTCAGAATACAGATTGAATAAATATAGTGCAAGGATAGAAGACATTAAACCTGGATTTTTCCTTTTACCAAAAGCAGTACTAGTGATTTTCCTTCAAAAGTATAATTTTTCATCTCTGGATTTACTGGAGTACATTAAGAATTATATATATTTCCAAGTCTCCACCCCCAAATTAATTTTTTGAGTCTTTATCAAATTATAAGATCAATTTATTTTTAGAATACTCTTTATGGTATTATTGATATATTCTTTATTTACTACACTTGAAGTGTTATTTTCATACTTTTTGCCTTTTCCTATTTTATGATAAAATTTCTTTCTGGATACATGTAATCATTATTTCTATTAATATTAGTATTTTTTTCTATACTGTCCTTCACTGAAAGGTAGAAAAATGACTAAGGATTAGAACATGTGCGTCTTTTCCCAGGAAAAATTAAAATTTGGACCAGAAATTTCCCAGTGGAACATCACCAAAATTATCTTCAAGGAACATTGAATTCCCTATTTGATTAGTTTCACAGAAATGACCCTTCTTAATACCAACTCAAAGGGTTACTTAGGACTTGAAAACAAGAGAAAAATAGATCTGATTCCCTTGAAAGCTTTAGAAATACAAGTTTTATTCACTCTTATAGTGATCACATTAATAGTGACAATCTTGTAAATTATATCACTATTACTTTTCATCACTTTAAATGCAAACTGTTATTTACATTAAGAATATCGGTGACGTTTTAGACAGAGGCATAGTATGGAAAATAGTGCCTATAGCAATTAGTTTTAAATTTCTGAATGATCTTCTCACAGCTGATGACGGAAATTGCAATGATGAATAGAAACAGCTCATTGTCACCCCCTTTAAGCGGCACCTAGGGCACTCTGGTAGCGTAGTGGTTACAAATCAGGCTGAGAACCTTAAGGTCAACAGTTAGAAACTACCAGCTATTCCACGGGAGAAAGATGAGACTTTCTGCTCCTGTAAAGATTTATAGCCTCGGAAACCCTGTTCAGGGTCACTATGGGTCAGAACCAATTCCACGGCACTTAATAACAACAACAACAAGATACGCTGAAGTCATTGATGAAACACAAGATTGCTGGAATTGGCAGAATACAAATTCAGATATTTCAACAAACAGATGCTATTCTGGAAGCATTCACTCAGCTATCCAAGAAATTTTAAGCACTACTACCTAGACAATCGACTGGAAGAGATCCATATTTGTACACTTGCTAAAGAATGGTGAAAAAACGGAATGCAGAAATTATTGAACAAATATCCTTAATATCACATACCAACAAATTTTGCTGAGATGCTAATTTAAAAATCACTTCAGCCATACATAGACAGGGAGCTTCCAGAAGTTCAAACCAGATTCAGAAAAGCAATAAAACAAGGGAGATGCTTGCTGATGTTGGGTGGATCTCGGCTGAAATCAGTACATACCAGAAAGATGTTTAACTGTGTTTTATTATGTGAAGGAATTCAACTGTGTGGATCCTAACATATTATGTACAAAGAATGGAAATTCCAGAATACTTAATTGTTCTCAAGTGGAACCTGTACATGGATCAAAGGGCAGTTATTTAAACAGAAGGGCACATTGTTGGTTTAAAACTGGTTAAGATGTGCAGCCAGGTTGCATCCTTTCACCATAATTATTCAACATGCATACTAAATAAGTAATCTGTGCAGCTGGATTTATGAAGAATAAAGCATCAGTATTGGAGGTAGATTAATTAGCAACCTGCAATATGCAGATGATACATCATCACACCTCTCAACTGATCTTCTAAGATGTCTGCACGCAATGAAAAAATTCTGGAGTTAAATGTATCAATTGTAGAATAACTTTGAAGGAAACTTGAGAAGAATTCTGATTGATATACCCAAGTGATTAGTAGTTTTTTAAGTTCACACCTAGAAAACTTGAATGTTATTCAACTGAAACACAGTGTTAATATTAAGATTTCTTATGGTTCTTAATAAAAAATCAACTTTGCTCAGTGATAGTAAATCTTTGAAAGTGAAAATTTCCTGTAATCTGTGCGAAATCCACACTCAGATGGAGCTTCCTGAGATACAAATTACATAGTTCTCATTCCTACAGCCTTGTT